AAAGAGCCAAGTCCAATTGGTGCACACATTTTGGGTCTTATCCCCTTGCACGTAAGCTTTGTAGGCAACAATAATTTTCCAAATAAAAAGTTTTGGCCCACTGATACTTATTTCTTCTCAGTCCCATTATTTAAGTTTAAAAAAAAAAAATCTTTTTCTGACAGCTATTTTGGAATAAAGCAATTTCTTTAATCATTTGAGTAAACGATGTTTTCATTTGGACTAAAGAAAGTCAAGGTAATGTTTAAATATTTGTCAGAAAACCACTGACAATTATTCTTTTTCATTTTTTTGTAAAATTATTTTTATAGTCCACCAAATTTGAGCACAATTTAGGGGTACTTCTATAAAAAAGAAGCCAATGAGAAAGAAGTTGGGAAATAGAAAAGGAAAAAGAAATAACTTAAAAAGAAAAAGAAGGAGCCTAAATGTGTTTTCTTTCCTCCCCGCAAAGAAGAGAATATCACAGTCTTTCATTTGCAGAATTCTGACATGTGATGTAGAATAGATTGTAGAGGTGATGTGAATGTATGGGGTGTCTACATGTTGACTAACGACCCATTTATCTCGTATGGTCAGGGAATTCAAGTAATTTAAATATTAAACAAAGAAGCATATAATTTTAAATATCTGAGCTTTAAAAAAAAAAAAAGGAAAATTCTTTGGAAATATTTTTTAACTAAATGCTACATTTTCATGCCTTCTCTTAGGAAACAGAAATACCCTTGTGTCTTCGGCCCCAAACCAAGGGCCTGGGGTGGAGAGTATCTGGGATTCTAGCAGAGTGCATAACTCAAGCAGAGGAAAATCCTAACTGATGCAGAGCTGTCTTCAAGAGTCTTAACGATTCCAGTGCTCCCCTATAATAATGATGCCTCTAATGGTTTCTGAATTGTGTAGGACAGCTTCTGGAAACATTACACGCCCCTATGAATCTGGGCTTTCCTTGTTATTTCTAATGATTCGACCGCATTTTGTCTGTCTGTCGCTTCTCATTGAGGTCACTGTAGCAGCGTATTCCTACCAGCCTCTCATCTACCCTGCTTTTTAAGAACGCATAGACTTATTTTTAGAGAACGAACTCAACGTCTTACATTAGTCGCAATTCCGTCTACTTTAGGAAATGTATAGTGTTAGGGAGCTTGTGCCATTTTTTTCATTAAGTAGTAAAATTTGTGACTTTGTGGCAACTGTCTCCTGTGCTGTTCAGATACGTCGTTCTCTCTGTGGATACTCCAGCTTTTTCGTGTGGCTATGGGCAGCAGTAATTGACCTCTAAATAATTCAGCTGTCATATTTTAAGAAGGAACAATATGGTGTAATGGGACCCACTAAAGCAAAAGTCAAAACACAGATTCTTTAGCCTCCGCTCAGCCCCAGCGGACCCCTCGCTGCTTCCATCCTCCTTGCTTTTGGCTGCGGTGGTGAGGAAGGGACATGAAGTATGGGAACCTGCCGTAGTGGTTCTAAGAGTGGCTGCTATTATGATGGCTTAAAACTGTGTGCTTTCAAGGAGTAAGTTAACTTAGGTCTAAGAAAGGACGTTAAATCTCCAGGATGTTGTGAAGATTGTAGTAAACAGCATACCTCAGTAAAAATGGAGAACTCTACAAATAATGCTAAACGCAATGACAGTATCGAATGAATGCCATTTCCACTCCTGCCTTCTCAGGGATTAACACGATTAGGTCGGGGTAGGCTCCAGGGGACTGACTTTGTATGGAAAATGCTGATGGAGAATACCATCATATTTCACTACAGAACACAGGCCTTTTTAACTGATTTACTCCAGACCAGCTAACTAGAGTTGAAATGAATTGTTTTCCATCTTTATAGTCTGATCAAAATTAAAGGGAAAAATAGTAAACAAAAGCATGAAATGGTGTTCTCAGATATGAAAAATCATCCTCAATAACAGACTGAAAGACTCAGAACAATTACTATTGTAGAAAGTCTGCCTCTATAACCCCAAGAAAAAATAAGACATTTTATGAGTATATATTTTATCAAAGAAAGAAAGAAGTGTATTTGATGATTCTCTAAGACCTTATATAAGCTTTATGTTTTTAAAGATATATGGACTATATTTACATAATTAAAATGAGAAAATAAAGAAATGCAGAAAGATATTATTCCACTCAGGCCTTCCTCTTAATAAATTGCATCATAGTACAAACTGCATCTTGTTAATCATTGGCATTTCTTTTGAGGATGTATTTGAGTCATCAAGATTGGAAGATTGGATTGCTCATGATGAATCTCTTATAGCCTTTCTTGATTATTTTCTAAATTTGATGACAAACACTGCAACATGTCTCAGCCAATTAGGCATGTCAACTTCCAATGTGGTCCCCAATCAAGTGTTTGACTTTGGAAATGACAGGAGATCCTTATTAAAAGTCATGCTTGTTGGATAGAGATGTGGCAGCCCACACTTGAGGCTGATGGCAGAGAGGACAAACTGCCTCTCATTAAATGCAATGAGAGGAAATCAATGTTGGCAGGAAGGAAACCGGACTATGAAGTAAACGCTGAGGGAAGGAACTGAAGACTATCTTACTCCTAGTTGATTGGAAATTGAGTCAATCGAAATGAATGTAATTTCTTATGAGCAACAGGGAGTTCAGGTATGCAAGTTAAACAACAGGTAAGAAGAATTGTTAGCGTAGTAACATAACTAGATAAGCTGTCTCTAAATGTACACAAATGAAAGAAAATCAAGGTGCTGTGAATTTCAACCTGTCACACAAATTAACCCCCCCCCCCCCCAAAGCAGCAGCCTGTATAAGTCACTGTGTAAGTAAAGTGATACAGTGTGTGAGACTGAAGTAAACTTGGAGACATGGTTGGAGACCATTCTGGGTCATTTCTGCAGGGATGACAACCACATTCATGGAGATTTTTTACTATTTTGTAGCTAAATTCCTTGTTAGTCACTATCAGAAGAGGACAAAACATGTTTCAGCATTAAAGCAGTGAAGAAAAAAAGAGAAGTGTTTAGAGTAAAAAATATATCGATCTTACATATATATACACACACATATATACACACATATATATACATATATATGTGTGTATATATAGCCCGTTTCAAAGCTTTAAGGTTAGCTTCAGATAAACAAAGTAACCCGAAATGGGAAATATTCCTAAAGAACTCACACAGTTTGCTCATTTAAACTAGATTACAAAAACCATTCATAAAATTTGTCAATAGTTTGATTTTTTAAATGCATCTAAAATATGTGCTTGAGAGGCACAGAGGGAATTGAGAATTTAGCATAAAGAAATGAGTAAGATAGTGCTTTTCTTTTGATGATAAAATTAATAGGATCTGCCCACTTAGAAGTCAAACAGCAGCATGTGCAACTGCAATAAATAATTATCTTCGCATTTTATCTTTAGGAAAGAGAAAAGTAATTCTAGATTTCCTTTGAAGTACACTGGAATTTCCTTGTTGAACTCTCAGCACACAATATAAAAATCTCAGGCCACACTGGTTCAAAAATCAATGGGCCGACAAACATCATTATTTCAGTATCCATCACAGAAGGAAAAAATGACTTGCAACATTGGACTGCCTTCTAGAGGAAATCTGGCTGAGAAGAAATTGTAGAAATCCTATACAAATGATTGCCAAAGTAAGAGTGTAATGTTAAATTGCAGGGGATGATATATAGGGACAAAAGTAGAGTATACAAATATATTTGGAATAACTTATGCCACTCCCTCTTCTATTTTAAACCGAAACTACGGGGACTATGTCTATTTAAATCTCACTAACTCCATTTGTTGTGAATCTATTTGCAGAGGTCAAAAATTGTCAGTCTTTCAAGTCCCAAGCCTTGTAATAAAATGCTGCTATATGATATAAATCGGAGCACAGTCATATTACGCTCTTCAGTTTGGCAATAAAATAAGCTATAAAATATATTAAATAAAAACCCAGAGGTTATTTTCCTAGAATCTGTTGAGCTAGAGCAGGTTCTTCTCTCTCTCTCTCTCTCTTTCTCAAACAAAAACAAAGTCTGTTGAAATAATAGATTTGTAATAAGAAAATTCTCCAAAGACAGACCCACCTAGTGACTTTAATTGCATATACAGGTAATTCTTAACTGGCATCTTTAATCCGAATTCCTGAGAACTTGCTAGATATGACTCAGCTTTTTAGAAAGAGAAGACAATTTTATTCCACTAGGCAACACCATTAACTAGGAGCACATGCTACTTCATCCAAACTTTCAGAGCTTGACTGTATGCACCCAGTACATTGCATTTCACATCATATTTCATTCAGCAAGCACCTTCCCAGATGTCTCTCTATGTGAACACTCAGAGAATTATGCTACAGCAGGTATACATTAGGTCATTTGAAGGTGGGGGTGGCAGGTGGGGGTCAGGGTGGGGGAGGTGGCCATATTGCTGGGATGCTCACACCCATAACCTACTTGTACTTAGCTTTTTACTTTTGACCACATAATATGCTGTCAATTTAAGTTCTACTTCTGAGTCACCCTGATGTTTTAGAATGTATTTTAAATATAAGGTTTTGCATATTTGCATTCTATGAATAATGTATAAGCAGGAAAGAATTCAATTGGCAAAAGTACACGATTCCTCGGATAATTTATAAATACAGACGAGTATGCATTTGGATTTAATAACTTTTCTTATGCGTGCGGAAAAATTTATACTTATAGAAATATCTGGATGTGCTTTATGGCTACTTGAGAAAATATGCACGTCCCTGTCCTGTGAAAGATTTAGGTATACCTCTCTCTTCTACACACTCACTCATCGGTGTGTTCACTCCCCTCTTTTTATGACACCTGATGTTTCTGCAAAACCTTATCTTTAACGGGCCGGAGATGAAAACGGTCCTATGGGACCATGAGCTGCAGGGTGTGTAAGGAGGGGAACTCACATGGTAAAGAACATAGATATGTAAAATCGCCCTCCGTTTGCAGACAGCAGGGAAGCCTGTGGAGGGACGCCCCACGCTCATGGCTCCTTGTCCTTGCGTTTCAGATTCAAGACCTCTTCCAGATGTCGCGCTGACTGGGAAGTGCACCCGCGAGTGTGACGAGTACGGCCACTCGGACTCCTGCTGGATGCCCGTGCGCACGTCCCCCGAGAGGAAGAGGAGCCAGCCCAAACTCTCCACTTTCATGCCCGTCGACGAGCGAGGCAGCCAGGAAAAGCTGGCCAACGGCGAGGCCGCCGTCCTGGGTGACCGCAACAGAAACCTCCTGAACAAAAAGTTGACCTCATCCTATGACACCTTCAGTGCAGCGAGTTTCAGCAAAAACGAGGAAGCCAACCCCGAGGATATCCCCCTGACCAAAACGGGGGAGTACAAGCCATCGCCCGTCAATACTCTCACTAGAAGAGAAGTTTACCTGTAGGCTAGAAAGAAGCAACAGCAAAGCTCTTCTGGTGTGGGAGAAGGAGAATAAGGGGCATAAAATAAAAAAGAAAAAGAAAACCTCACAAAGTAAAACCGGTTCATGAAAAGGAAGGGGGCTACCAAAGAGACAAAGCGTTGCCTGCCAATCCTGCCCCCGCCGGGCCTTTAGCGGGACTGTCAGCCTGACGGTCGTGTACAATGTAGAAACCATCCTTGCTACCTGCATGTCGGACCCTCCCCATCCCCAGCACCGCTCTCCCTCTTCCCCACCACCCTCCAAAAAAAGAAAAAGAAAAAAAGATGGTTGCAAGTTTCTTTCACGGTGACGAGCCTGGTTAGCAGAACACGACACACTCTCATCACCCCCAAGCTGAAGCATGATTTCGGTCACTTTGATTTAGTTCTATGTCATCCAACTGGTCAAAAGAGGTAGATCAGGTAAATAGATATTTGAAACATATTATCAGGATCTGATTAATTACCGGGAAAGGCAGTCTCTCAAACAATGACAGAGTCCCCCTAAAGGCACAGTCTTGTGAACGGAGCGCTCTAAGAAGCGTTTTCCAAGATCACAGCTTTAACATTCTATCAAAGGCGGAGAGCTTCGAAGCAACGCCTCGTTGGAGACTGCAGGCCCCGGATTGGCCTATGTTGTTCTTTTCAAGTCAGGGACATCAGCTTCAATTCCATACATTCATTGAAGATTCTAATGATACACACGATCTTGATCACATGTATCAGTTGCACTAATTATAATTTGTAAACATCACACAAATATTTTTCAGAAAAACATCACTATTATCAACTAATTGGAACAAATTGTGTTATTAAAGGGCCAAAGATCATAACGGCAGGTCAGGGAAATATGAAGTAGATTTGGTCTTGACATGGAAAGCCATGAAGCAAGGAAACCCTCAAACACTCGTTTATCTTCCATTGTCTCCATTCCCAGAAAACAAGCATTTTCCCTTAAATGGATTTTCTTTGAAAGTTCAATAATGGAAATTAATGAGACATATTTTTGGTATTATAATAGGCAATTAGTCGAGGTTCAGGTTTAGTTTCGAAAAACAGGGACGAGTCTACATCTTAAAATCGTATTTGTGGGTAGGCAGGGAAAGAAAGATACATCGGCATGCAGTCTGATGAATTGAGTCCACTATTATCATTTTGGAATCTGGGTTATGCTTGCTGGTCTTAATTATCCACATTTCAAATTACCAATTACTTTTGTGTGTGTTCAATGCACACCTCCATATAACACAAGTGCATTGATTTTGAATCCTGTGCGATATTGCACTACTTTGAGACTGACAGCATTGGAACACGGTGACACCCTAACTGACTTTGTCACTAATTGCATTTGAACATTATCTAATATATATATATATCTTATATATATATCTTAAAACAAATCCAGACTGCACATGAAAGAAATGAATTCTGGGCGGTAACCTGTCTCACTATATGTACATCTCAAAGTTGAAAAAATATGCAGTTTTCTCAATGTGAAAAAAAAGAAACAGAATATGCAGATTTTAGGTCACTTGCTCTATGGAGGATGATTTAATGCAATTGGAAATTGAGCTGGGACATTCAGACAAAAGTGACAATCCAGTGACAGAAGAGCGATCACAGGGGAAGAGAGCAAAGGTTCCCATCGCTGAATGTTTGTAACCTGGTTAAGGCATAGCCTTGATGGCTCCCTAGCAAACTGTAGAAACAATGTAGCTTTGGGTAGTTTCAAGCTCTGCAGAATTTCTTAGACTATAAAATGAAGCAGCCTGGAATATAGGTTGTTAATTCGCTAGAGATCATCAAAATGCTTATCGTTGAAAGCCACTTTTCTGGTTGGTGGGGTACTCTTTTGAGGTCATTTCTTTATGATCTTTTTTAAATGGAGTTTTCATTTTGATGTTAGTTTGTGTACAATAGTTAGGATGAAAGAAGATGTGTAATTGAAACAAAAACATTGGACTAAAATACCAATAATTGAACATGTTGATGTTTGATTATTATTTACAGTATGGAAAGATGCAATTCTAGTACTCCGCTAGGAAACTGCATTAAAGCAGTCTGCCTTGTATAATCTGTAAGTACCTATTAAGACAAAATACTTCTAAAGATACTTATGAAATGTATACATATTTTTTCTTGCACGTTACAAAGGAAATAATTGCATAACACAGGTGTTCAACACACTTTTTTAACATATTTTTTTTTCTTTCTGTCATGAGACACTTGAAACCATTAGGTAGCTCATTTCACTCTATCTTAAAACCCTTCTGTTGTCTATAAAGCTAATGCAGGTCCTACTGGACCTTCAAATTAATCGGATTCACATTCCCCAATAACGTTTGCACCGCATTCAGGACAGCTATGTCATTGTCTCTCTTTAGAACTAAAATGGGTGTGAAAGAATAAAATTCAGTGTACTGTAAGTATTCACAGTATTTCTAGTAGAATTAGCTATCATAACATGTTTATTATATAATGAGCTGGCATGACACAGAAATATATTTTGTGTTTGTATTACTTTTATTTTGAATAGGTTAAATATGGTGCCACTCCATATATAGAGTGCTTTTGGAAAAAAAAATTTAAAAAGAAACAAAAAATAAATAAATGAGTGAATGCAAAATAAGCAACTGTGCCTTTTATACCTGTTGTTATGGTAAAAAACAAAAACAAAAAAAATGGTTGTTGGGTTTGGACAATGAGGGGAAATGGGCTAGTCCCAACTTTTTTGATCCTGTATATTTATCCATGTTTATTTTCTGAAAATAATAAATAATATATTAAAAATTTGCCTTCTGAAAAACTCAGATAATGGACCAGTCTTAAATATTGTTCATTCATACGACAAAATTAAGGCATCAACATGGGCTGCTTATTTCTGACTAGAAGGCTAAAGCATTTATTGTAATAGTAACACAGGAAGATATTATCAGGGGTGAAATCAGTCCATCTTGCAAGATAAAATATTAATTTAGAATGTCTATTTTTTTTCTTTTTGTTGGTCTTTTTCTTTTAACTGCTGTTTGATTTTGGTTGTACAGTATATAAACCATCCTTGTTTTCTGTACGCAAGACTCTCAAGTGAACTTTGCATGCACTGTGATACATTAGGGCACATCTATAAATTACTGAATAACTATATAAATTTATGTGTTTTAAAACGTCTGTAGCTCCCATCGAAAACCATTCCGAACCTCCAGATATCATTTCTGTATGGTTTGTGACTGGCCTGCTGCCTGAGTTTCAGAAAACAAGGGAGGCTTTATTTTTATGGAAAGAGGAACTAAGATGGTGTTGACCATGTCTGGCTGAGAGGTACCCTAGGAAACTGCTTTATAAGAGAGTACAGTACAACATACAGACCAGAAGAAACTGCCAGGAATCAAACAGCCATTCTTAAACAGTCATGAGAAATCTCAAGACCTATGTCATTTTAAGTATACTGTTATCAGTGATAAATATACAATGTGTCCTTAAGGGGGAAGAAAAATGTGAAGATGATCATGAATATTGTAAAGCTTGTCAGTTGTGACCCAGGCAGAGGTACAGGTAACATCTGGAGGATGGCATCATTTTCCCAGCTACCTAGGGTTTGCTTTCAGAGGACTTCTCCTACATTTTAAAGCACTTGCATTCTATGTGGTACGATCTGTTTGTAATGTTCATCACTGACTATTGTTCTGCTACTTGGATGTTGATAGTGAAGCAGAGAACAATTTATCATCGTTTATTATGAGTCACTATGCACGCAACTATGCTACACATGGCGAAATGTATTAAACACGCGTCCAACTATTTATGAAATACTTTACATAATTTAATTTGCTTTTGTACAGGTTTATGTAAATAAATTGCTTGTCATTTTTGTCTCTGCAAATTAAAATATAACATGGTCAAATGGTTCCACACTTGTAAGTGTGCTTCTCTGTTGACAAGTAATTCAGCTTTGGTTGGACGAGTAGTGAATGGGTGCATGTACCAGTTTGATTTGAAATGGCCTGATTTCTGTTAAATTAAGAAACAGTAAGGAAAATAACGATGAAGCAATTGTTGATTTGAGGGGCAAGTGCATAACTGTCTTAATACTTTGCCTTATAATGGATGGAACTTGAGTTCATCCATCTCATCAAAATAATTCCTGAGACAGCTAGCTGGCTTTGAAATCTTAAAGGTAGAAGAACTTATTATTTTTTAAAGAGAATTTTCACATTGAAGGTAAAATTAATTCTCAGTCAAAATGTATCTCTGTAAAGGCAGTGCTTGCTTTAAATCGAAAGCAATGAGAAATTCCAAAAGGTTAGAGACGTAATAAAAACTTATATCATGTGAGATGTAGAAAAAAATCCTGAAGAAAAAAAAAGAGAGAGAGAGAATTTTTACCTTCCTCAGTTTTTCTTTAGTTGAGCTTTTGCTACTTGTTATATTTTTTAATCATTTACTACCTTTTTTTAGTTATTCTATTTTTTCTTTGTTATCAGATTATGCACCTAACTATAATAATCTTCTTTATTTATTAAGTTGGTATCTATTTAGCAAAACTTTTTTTTTTTTTTTTTTTTTTTTTTTGGTATGTGCCCCTAGCGGACACCGAACCCAGGACTCTCTGGTCCACAGGCCAATGCTCCAACTGCTGAGCCACACCAGCTGGGGCAAGTTGGTATCTATTTAAGCAAGTCACTTGTCTTCTCCAACCCAACTCGGAAACTTAAAGGAGAAAAATTATTTTCTGTAAAAGGCGGAGACAAAGGTAGGTTTACAGGCGTTAGTATGAAAAATAATGCAATAATTAATAAATAACAATACAAAAATAAACATGTGTACTCACAACTATAAACCTACACTTGCCCACCTGCATATACAAATAGATTACACAGAATTTTTGAGCCGTCTCACAAGGGGAAACATGCCTTGATGTTTTCCTACCATTTTTTCCCTCTCTTAGATACAAATTTAAAATATTTTATAGAATAACATATCTTTTCTTAAATCAAAGATGTCTTTATAAATTGATTTTGGTTCTAAATTAAAAGCGAGCACAGTACCCTGGTGGTAAAATATTGTCCCAATATGCCAAGGTTTTGCATTCCATCCCTGGTAAGGGCACATACAAGAAATACAAGAAGCAACCAATGAATGCATAAATAAGTGAAACAGACCGATGTTTCTCTCTCTCTCTCTCTCTCTCTCTCTTCCCTCTCTCCGTTCCTCTTTCTAAAAATAATAAATACATGTTTTTTAAAAAGAGTGAGCATGG